CCTGTCCCCTGACAAATCCTCTGATTCCCATGCCTATCCAACCACTGCCTGTTCCTTGACTGCCCCCCCCCGGAACTCCCTACCCCTTCTCCAACGCCCCCGCCCCCTTACCGTGCCACTCAGACCAGCGTGTATGGCTTTGTGCAGCGCCAGACACGCTACTGCATACATGCTGCCGTGCTCCCCTGCGGAGCCACAGGACCCCTCGCCCCTCCTCCCCCCCAGCACCCGCCTTCCAGATTTGAACACCTCAAAATTCAGGAGTGCTCAAGCTCAGTTTGGGCAGCTGTTACTTCATTTCTCCCAAATCAAATATACTGATCCACTGTAACTTGGTGTAGAAAAAGTAGGATAAAATTGAGCAAGAAATGCTTCCCAGTGGTTATTAGGACTGGAATTGCTATTTTCAACAGCCATTGCCTTTTTGTTTGTTTGTTTGTTTGTTTAAAAGGAAGACAGTGATATTGCATTGGCAAATTCCCCATAGAAAGAAAGCGTGGAACAAAAGAATAATAAAGGCACCTCAACTTTTCCTCATTTATGTAGAAATAGTCTTATAATATGCATCCAGATATCCTCCAATCACACAAGCTGAAAATTGTTCCACTTTACTGCAGTTCTGTAACCATATGGGAACCAATCCTTTCTGTGTTCTGTGCACATCTAAAATTCCTGCTGAATGACCTGCCCTGGGAGCGAGTTACCAGTGACCCAGGGCTGCGGCGGAAGAAGGGTGCAGGTGGGGGGGAGGTGAGCCCAGGGCTGGGGCGGCAGGAGGTGTTGGGGGGGGCAATGGTGGGGCGGTAGGGGGAACCCAGAGCTGGGGCGGCAGGGTGTGTGTGTGTTTGTGGGGGAGAGCCCAGGGCTGGGGAGGCAGGGGGGTGCGGGTGGTGGAGAAGAGCCCAGGGCTGGGGCGGCAGGGGGGTGCGTCGAGGAGCCCAGGGCTGGGAGGGGGGCAGCCAAAATTTTTTTTGCTTGGGGCGGCAAAAAACCTAGAGCCGGCTCTGGTTGTTTGCCATGTCCACTGAAGGAAGAACAAGAAGCAATGGGCTTAATGTGCTGCAAGGGAGATTTAGGTTAAATATTAGGAAAATTTTCTAACCATAAGGATAGTTAAGCTCTGGAACAGGCTTCCAAGGGAGGTTGTGAAATACCTGTTACTGGAGGTTTTTAAGAACAGTTGGGCAGACTGTCAGGGATGGTCTAGGTTTCCTTGGTCCTACCTCAGTGCAGGGGGCTGGACTTGAGGATCTCTTGTGGTCCCTGCCAGCCCTACATTTCTATGATTCTGGGCTTTGAGAATCAAGCTGGGCTCTTTGCTTCTCACACATAATCAATACCAGGAATAAAAGTTTTGCAGACTAACTGCTGCCTTCATTAGATCCCTATATCTGAGTTCCAGATGTTCTGTATCCTCTATTACAATGAACGATATCCCTCTCACCATAAACACAGAGTCAACCCATCCCAGCTGACCCCGCCTATTTTCGCTGCTTCATTAATGTTCTCGCAAATGGCCTTTTTGAGTCACATTTTCTCCAGCTTTTATCATAGCCCAAAAGGCAATTTGTATGGAAAGCTAAAATAAAATCACTTGAGTTGGGGTGTAAGAAGTATAATACACGTCTTTCCACATTCTGCTTCCTCTTCAATCTGCCTATGTGTACCTCAGCCGCCTGCTGCTGCCTGCCTCCATTCTACCCCTCATCCCCAATTTACTTTCTCCTGATCCAGTAATTGCTGGAATGAGAGTGATTGGAATCTGTCTCAAGCCCAGTGTGTGTAATTTCTGCCATGCTCACACCCAGTCTGTCATTTTCAGTGGAGGTAGTAGGTTGGGATGGTTTGTAAGGAGAGGTTTTTTTTAACTGGCTGTATCCTGATCAAACCCCATTCGGTGAGCTTGAGCTCCAAGGCGCCTCAGGTTCTGCTCTGAACACAGGAAGGCACACTAGCTAGCTTTCATCACTTGTTTTGTTCTCTCTTCTCTGTATGTTCCCAGCATTATGAGATGGGAGTTGGAATCAATGGGGTTTGGGCACCTAAATACCTTTGACGATCTGGGCCTTAGTGCCTTTCTAGACCAAGTTAAGTTACTCATTCAGTCTTTGATCAGAGCATGGAGGCTCCTCAAGGAGCCCCCACCACACTTACACAAATACTTGAGAGGAGGTAGAGGGCTTCATTCTCTACTGGCTCATATTGTGGGACCAAGCCACATCTTTTAATCAGAGCTTAGCAATAAAGGAATATCTCAGTCTAGACACTGAGGGCACCTTCTGACCTATACAGTGGGGTGTGAGATGAGATCTTAGTAAATCCAAATTACTTCAATGGGGAAAAGGTCAGGAGGACTGATTGGCTCATGGGAAGGGAATACAGAGCCTTTCCCCTCCACTGCAGTAGTTACAATCCAGCCCTATGATGGGGGGAAGTGGGGCTGGCTGTTTTAGATGGGGGAGTGAAATCAATGGGTACAGAGCTTTTCACCTATGTATTAACTGTAAGTAGTTAGTCTCTGTTCCTTGGCCACCACATGAAATGAGCTGGGTTTTCAATCAATCTATGTACCAAATTCACTGCAATTGACACTAATCAGACTATGATTGAGTGGGCCACAGAGCAAAGCATTCCCCCCTCCTCCAAAAAAAAAAAAACCCTGGGTCATTTCTGTAGGGCTGAGGTTATGGTGTTGGAAGGGGCCAGGGTGCCTGCGGGAGGGTACCATTGCCAGTGCTGTACCTGCCTTGTGAATGCCAGTCCCTTGTAGGGTTGCTAGTTTTGGTTGGACATATTCCTGGAGGTTCCATCACATGACAATCTTTAAATACAGATTAATTCCTGGAGACTCCAGCACAATCCTGGAGGGTTTGCAAGGCCAGTCCCCAGGGAACTGCCAAGCTGACCCCTTTCCTTAAGATCCACGTTCCTAGTATAAGAGCACAGCAGGGCTCTTCCCCTGAAGGAGGATCTCTTTGTTGTAGAGTGTGACCGCTCTATTCCCTCTCTCCGCAGGTGGGGGCAGCGGAAGGGGAGGGCAAGGCAGAGAGAGCAATAGGAAGAGGACACTACAACCTACTTGAATAATTGATAGCGCGAGGAGGGGGGAGCGTATGCAGGAGCAGCTGGACTCCCTGTGTCTCCATCCGCTCACCAGCCGGGGATGAGAGAGCCCAGCTCAGGTAGGGGAGCGCAGCTGCTTTTCATTCTCTCCTCTCCTGCAATGCCAATTAAATGTGTTTTGTGATCCGGAGGGGGGGATAGAGGCAGCTGGGCAGGGGGCTGACACAGGTCCCCCAGGCACGGTGCAGGGAACGGAGCTTGACTGAGGGAGTTTCAGTTACAAGGGGGAGGTGGCTCTGGGGTATTTTGTAAAGAAATTGTGCTGTAATGCAGTGCTCAGAGAGGCAGGGGTTGGCCAGAGGCAGAGAACGTGGTAGGGTAGGCTACGTGGAGAGGGAGGGGGGGGTTAAAGGGGTTTGTCTGAGGGATTTCACCTTTATCCTCCCAACCTCATGGCATCAAATCTTGAGCCCAGAATTGATGGACCGTGGGAGGTGCCATCTGTGCACATCTGGCACTGGCACAGGGGACTGTGTGTTGGTGTGTGTGTCTGCGTTTGTGTGGACATGCTTGTGTGCAACTGTGTGTGTGCGTGGCTGCACCTGTGAAGCTGTTTGCTGATTTATTAATGTTGCACAGTATTAATAAGTGCAGAGAGAGACAGTTTCTGTGAGGACGAGTTTACAGTCTGAAGGGTTATGTTTGTGTGATTGCCTGTGCCTGTGTGTTTCTGTGCATGCATTCCCTTCTGTGAGCTAATGTCTCACATCAGATGTGCTTATAGTGACTCAATTAATAGATGCATCGTGCTGAGATCAATTTGTGTTAGAGTAAATCCAAACCTTTCCAGCTCAAACTTACACATATTCAGAATGAATGACCTAACACACTGACCCATACATCCTGAAACATACTCATTAACACAACTGGATGCATATGCCCATACAGTCAGGTGGCATCATTGTATTTAGTGTGTACCCACAGGCAATCTTTGGCTTGAGTGCAAGTTGAGGGCAGTGGTTTTTGAGAGTGATTGTGTATTAGTAGTATACTGAGGGGCAGCGAGTTGAAGTGAGGCTTGTTTGAGGAGGGAAGCTGTTTGTAACTAGATTGTGTGCTGGGGACCCGTGGGTGCTGAGTTGCTGAGGGAGCTGTTTTGCAGTTGTATATTGGGGTTGTGTACTTTGGTTCTATAAAGTTGTGATGCAGTGAAATGAAAGCCAGGCCTAACATACCTAGAGAACCAGTAATAAGAGAGCTCTAATCTCCACTCCCCATGAGGCAATTCTCCTCAGAGTACAAGACCCTTCACTTGTCCAAATTTCATTTTCCCATATTCGCCCTCTTTGTTCTAGTTTAGCTAATCTCCCCTTCCCACTCAGAAATTCCCACATTGTGAGTACACAGTTCCTCTCATTCCCCAGCAACAGAGATGGAGGGACAGAGACAGAGAGAATAGCCATGATCTGTTCTTGCCGGGTCCTAAAGGTTCCAGCCAGCTTCAGCTCCTCATTGTATGTGGTGCCTCAGGTTTTGCTCTGAACACAGGAATGCACACTAGCTAGCTTTCATCACTTGTTTTGTTCTCTCTTCTCTATATGTTCCCATCATTATGAGATTGGAGTTGCTTGTGGGGGGGGATCTGTGCTTGACCTGGACAATGATGCACAGCCAGGTCACTTGCAATTCCATTGGCCTTTCATGACAAGAACATTTTGGAGGCAGTAGAACAACATTCCCACACTCATGTCCCCAACAGGAGGCATTATACCACCTTCTCTCCTTTTCTTTCTTTCTACCCCATCTATATCTGGTATTTCCTGTATAGTACATGCAGCCATACTCTGTGTGTCTCTCCTACCCTCTCATTTCCTCTGCTCCTTCCTACCCCTCTGTGACTTTCTTTTCTTTACTGCTCCTCCTCCTACCTCTGTTTGTCTCCCTTTTTGTTCTCTTTCTCTCTGTCTCTCCTTTCACTTTTTGCCATTCTCTCTTTCTTTCTCTTTCTCCCCCAGTGATTAAAGTAGCTCAAGTTGAGCACGGGAGCTCACTAGCTGTAGTGGCTGCTGTCACAGGGTCTTGATGTTATGTGGTGACGAAGCATTACATCATTTTGTGGCATTGGGACTCACATAGCAAGGGGAAGAGATTGGGGACAGAGAGGAAATGTATCTGAAAGGGCTCCAAGTCCCCAAGCAACAGGGCCACAGACAGGTAAACACAACCATGTGTGTATGTCTGTGGGGTGGGGGACAGTGCCCCCAACCACAGTCTCTACCAGGATGGAGAATCTATACTGATGTGAAAGCAAAGAAATGTGGGTAGGCCTGGACGATTCTGACCCGCCAAAGGTGTGAAATGACTGATACCATAGCTTGCGCAATCCAACGGCTAGACATTTCACAAGAGAGATTTTTATGCCAAGTCTTCTCATTATGTATTATTTACTGCCTAGAGTGGGTGGAGCTAGAAGGGGTTGGTACAGTCTTTCCCTCCCTGTGTAGGGAATGGGAGGCAGTACGGGATTGCTCCTGTGACCCTCTCTTCCTGTAGGGTATGGCAATCTGGCTGGGAGGGAAATACCCTACATTAGAGGAGGGGAGGGAAATAGGGGACTCTTCTTCCCCTCTCAGGTTCTGCTGCCACTTTACCCACTGGCAGAAAATTCTGGGAACCCCTGAAATTCCTCAGCCAATCATCAGGTCCCTCTGTTACTCCCACCTAAGATTCCCCTTCCTGGAGGTCCTCATCTCAACAGCCTGGCAGGAGAGGATGTGCGGGGAGAGCTGAGTTCTCCAAGCCATGGAAAAGGAACAGTCTCACATTAATTTCTGCTCTCTCCCTGCCTCCTGTTTCTCAGTCTCTCAGTCTCTCTCTGCGACGCTCTCACTCTCTGCTGCTCACAGGGTGTCCCGCAGCGTCTCCCTGGGAGCTTCCTGCCCTCATGTGGCTCATGCCTGGCTCTAGCTGTGAGCAGCTCTTTCCTTTTGCTCATTTGAAGTGTGTCTCGGGAAAGAGAAGCAGATGGGGGTTGGGGTTTGGGGGGCAGAGGAGGGAGCCTGTGCCCTCCAGAGACGGGGAGGTGAGTCTATACCCTGCTGCATGACGAGAGGAGAGGAAGCTGGCAAGCAGGAGAGCAAGGAATCCACCATCAGCAGGGAGAAGAGTAGAGAATGTTTTCTCGGAAGCGCAGTTTCACCTTCGGAGCCTATGGAGGGTATGTACCTGTACCAGCCCCTGGCTCCCTCTCACAGACCTTGCATTATGCAGCCTCTTCCTGCCAGAACCCTGGCGAAGCTGTGGGAGTGGGTTAAACCTAGAGAGGGAAACCTCCAGGGAAATTGACATATGCATCTCTGCTCCATCACTGCAGCCTCATCTCCATCCTTCTGATATTGGGACAATCTCCTTTCCTTTCTCCAGCAGAGAGAAGGCTTTCCCTGGCCTGTGGGCTGGGGTGGGGGAGTGACTGATTGTTTTCTTCAGGATGAGCTCTTCTTCAAAGGCTGAGACTTCAATTTCTTCCCTCCTCCCTCCCCTTAGAAGGAGACGCAGTTCCCCAGTTCTGATGTTTCTGGAGATGGCGATGGGTGTTTGAGGACGGGTGCATTTTCCTCAGGACTTCTCCTTTCAGAACAAACAGTTGGGGCTGAAACGATCTCAACCTATTCTCAAACTTTAAAGTTTAACACCTGGTGTGCCTGCAAGGCATGGACCATAGCTGTGGACCAAATGACTGATAGAGCTTGAAGTGAGAGCTTGGGCAGTTTGCTAGGTGACCCAATATGCCTTTTCTGTCTGTTCCAGAGGCAAAAGGAGGCAGAGGCATTTAGAGGAAATCCTAAACAAAGAATGAGGACACAGTAGTTCTCAACCTGCGGACCATGGGTCGCTTGCGGGCCAATCAGCACAGAGCTGCGGCCCATGTCACATCCTCAGGGCCATACAGGTAGTACTGGATGCAGCCCACATAACACATTGTGGGCCACATATGTGGCCTACAGTGGTAAATATGTTGAGAACCACTGAGCAAGAGTGTTAGCCTTATCAGTGGCAGCTGCTCACTCTCACTTCTCTACCTCTGTCTTGCTCTCTTTCCTTTGGAGTTCAGGAATCAATCTGTGATGCAGTGATGCGGAATGCAAAGCTCCAGCTACTACATGCTCTGGTGTTGTGATTAGGATGTGATCACCAAAACCCCAAAGAGCATGATTGGCAGAGCTGGGCACTGGAGAGAGGCCCAGGACTGGAATAGCAGGGGCTGCTGCAGGTCAAGACAAATGTTCCTCAGCAAACATTTTATTTGATTTCTTCAGACCTATTTTCTAGCTGTGAATTACCTGCAGACAGATTCTAATTCTTATGAATTCGGTGATTCTGCTAAATGTTTCAGGGAACGGTTCCCATGAACATACTTCAGCTTAAGAGGGTCACTTGCCAACTATTGGCCATGGCTATTACATTGAGTCATCTGTAATTTGCTATTCATGGCTATTTGACTAGTCCCTGAAGTCACATAGTGTTGTTTCTGCTCCTGGGCTGGACTCCTAAGCCCATGATGAGCCTTCAAGATAGCCACATGCACCCTTCAACCATGAGCCCCTATGAGAATAGTTTCATGAGGATTTGGACACTTTCCCTTCCAGAGAACAACAAATCACTCCTACGAATGCCTGTGGAAGGGGAATTAAAGGGCTTGTGACATCTGTCAAAGTGGATGTGCAGGTTTTATTTTCAGGATGGAGAAGCACTGGCAGAGTATATGTGGAGATGGATAGCTGAGAGGGTTGTAAAGGGTCTTCCACAGGATTTCAGGGCTGAGTGTGGAGATTGAAGGACTGGAATAGCAGTGCATGCTGCAGGTCAGGATTGCCTAGCTACTTTTCTATTTTAAAATGTAAGCAGTAGATAGTGAGAATAATTCCAGGGATGGGTTCCTGTTTTTCTGTTTAAAGGTAGTACAGCTGTATGGTTAAGAAACATTTCTGCATAAAGAAATATCTCTTTAAAAAGTGGCATGAATTTAAACTGTTCTCAGTAAGTTTTAATATAGCATTGAGTGTCCTCCCCTGTCCCTCTGCTACTTCTCTTTCCAGCCCAGTTTCCTTTGTAATTTTGTTTGGCCTGGGACACTTTGTTCTTCCTTGATAGAAGAACTTGCGGCTTACACTGGCAATTGAATGACAAAAGTTTTGTCTTTCAGAGGTGTTAAAAAACACACCCCACCCCCAAAAGACAAAGTTTTGCCGAGGACAAGCGCCGGTGTGAACAGCACTTTGTTGGCAGGAGAGCCGCTCGTTGGGGGTAGAAGTTTTTTTATTCTCCTACAAACGCATATGCAGAGAAACGGTCCTTCCTTGTGGGCCTGCAGTACTGCCAAGCCCCAAAGCTCAAAATTCATGAGTCAGTCTCCCAAAAATAATGAAATTTGTTTTAAAAGTTTAAGTCCCATTTTTGTCCTGTCTTCTGATTTTTTTGAATTCCCCCTGCCCACCCGCAATGTGTTTGTCTTGTTGCCAACCCTGGCAGATGTATAGTAAGGTAGGTGATTTTGCTGAAGGAACTCTTACTAGAGGATCCAACCAAAACGGGGGTCTGATTGTGCCATGCATTTTCCATTTGCACAGTAAGGGACAGTCCCTTGCCCCAAGAGCTTGCAATTGAGTGCAAAGCATGGTGGTGAGTTTGTGATGTGGTGAGTTTGGAACTGGGACTCAGCCAGACTCATCTCATAGAGAGGCCACTGAAGATCCATTAGATGGGAACAACTTTTAATCCTTGTTGAGCAGGGAAAGATTCAAACTGGTGATCTGCAGGTGGAAGATGCTGAGTCTATACAGCATTACAAATGACTGAGGCATTCAGTCCCGCAAAAGCAGTAATCTTGCACCTTTGAGAATGAGGCTTCTTTCTGGAGAGATGAGTTTATTAAATGAAATTCTGATCTCCTTTGGAGCTTACACAGGCAGAGTCATCTGCTCTCTGGACACACAATGTAAATCCGCCGCACTGTGCTGTCAGTCTCAGATGCACTCTGTTTGCCTGGCCCTGTTCTTAAACCTATTAACCAAGTACAAAAAAATAAAAAATAAAATGAATATTAGTACAACATTCAAATTAACTACAGTGGTTTGCATATAGATATGCCAACAATTACTCCAGGCTCCTTAGACTAACTTTTATACTGTTTTACTCCCATATCTGTCATTAGCAGGGTTTCAACCTTCAGATGCACAACACAGATCTCGTCTACTTCAACTGTAGGAGTAACTAATGGGGGAAACATGCCATTACCTCTATGTGGATCAGCCCACAGAGTCAGACACCAAATGCACATTGCCAGTGGGTTGCACCAGTACTCATGAGACAGCAGTAGAATGTGGGGCATCAGGATTCTTGGCCCTCAAAGCTGCTTGTGCCCTGGTGGTTACAGACAGTGTAGAGAAATGTAACAACAAACACCACCCCTATTTGGGTCATCTGTGGGCTATGAACCTGGGACCACTGATGTTAAAGCATGAACCTTTTACAGAGCTCTTAGCTTGGAAATACCAGGAGAGTCCTAAACCTCTGTGTGGTTTACCTACTAGAGGGGGACACAGAGCCACATTGTGTTAGCACGAGTTATAGAACTACTTACTTTTGCATAAAGAAGAACAGGAGTACTTGTGGCACCTTAGAGACTAACAAATTTATTAGAGCATAAGCTTTCGTGGACTACA